GCGTGGCTTTGTTTGAAGATCTCCATTTATAAATTAGTTGCTCTTAAAACAAGAATATATTTTTTTAAATGGAGGACCATTTTACTCAGTTTTTCAATTTTTAAAATATTTTCTGTTTTATGCCTGTTTTGTTAAAAAAAATTCAAATTTTTGAAGGAGGAAAAACCCAAAATATGCAATATTTTTCAAAAATAAACAGCAAAATTGAATCTTTGATGTGGATGTTCCAGCCTTGACCAGGTCAAAAATTAACAGTATTGATGTTTACGCATTATTATTTTTGGAGTAATGAGAGTTAAAACTGACACACTTTACATTCTTGACCTGAAATGGTACATCTTACAAAAGAGCAGTAAAAATTCAATCTAATTTTTTTTCCCACTTTCCATCCATTCAATCTTTTCAATAACTTCAGATCTATACAGAGATATGAGGGTTTTCTCATTTTAAAAATCTTTTCTATGGTTTTATGCCTGTCATATAAAGCACTTTAAACTGTCTTGTTGCAGCTATAGAGATAAACTTAAATTTTTGTCCAGAAATCTTTTTTTTTTTTTGAAGGGGGGAAAACAAAATATGCAGTATTTTTAACATGTAGACAACAAAGATGCTGCTCCTCACCCAAATCATTCTGTATATTTACTGATGACCTCCCCTGTAGGTCTGAGAAGTGCAGGATTAGCTGCAAGAAGTCTGTAAAGAGAGATGAATGTAGTCAAAAGCCTGGAGATCCTGGAGTTGAGAGATGAGGAGAAAAGTATGACGGAGCCTTTTCATGTGTGGAAGACCACAGAATTTCCCTGTCTTTTTTTTTTTATTATCATCTTCATGGAGATTTCCCATCACCCATTGCTTCCTCCTCCTCTCAGTTGAAAGGATCCTCCTTTGCCAGGCTGCAATTCGTCCCCCTCATATGAATTTTGACTTCTGCTTATATTTACATCAGACATTTCATCCTCATCATCCTCAGACTTGCAATCTGGTAAATCTCCACACGGAGTTCTCTAGTCATGGCTGCAGCATTTTCTAGGTGGTAATTTCTCCGAGATAAACTAGCCTAACTGCATAAACACGCTGCTCCTCTCATCTAATAGGCTTTTTGCACCTACAGCGATGATGTCACATCCGTATTAGTGGCTTTCTTGCTTCCGCTTTGAGTTACCGTGACAGCTAGAAGAGACGGTCATATTTCAGAAGCAAATAAAGCAATACCATGAACATTGTCTTCCAAATATAATGGGCTTGAAACTATTTGTCGCGACAAGTTAAAGCTAACGCCGAGCAGCAAAGTTTGCAGCCTTCACTTCACTGCGGATCAGCTTCTTCAGCCTAATGCTACCGATGGGAGATGGATGGGAAAGAAAGGAGCCATCCCTGTGTTATTTCCATGGAATTACTTCTGTATTCAGCCTGAAAGAGCAAATGTATGGGAACGAGTGAGCAGATCACAGCCAGACAGCCGAGCAACTGATCCGCCTGTATACGCTGCTGTTAACACCATCCTATTTGAGCTCTTCACAAGAAGCATACAAAAGTAATAAAACGAAATGACACGGAGACCTTAAGGAACACGGCCATATTTTTCTAAAAGCAACAACTCCAAACCTGAACAGTCAGCTGAACTCGAACTCTGACACCAGTTATGCCCTACTTTTAAGCTATGGGGCTTCTTGTGCTTCCTCATGCTTTGGAAGCAAAAAGCCCGCACCATCATCTCCCCCGTTGCTTGGTCTCTGACATTAATGACAATAAACCCACATTACAGCAACATACTTGAAAATAAACACAAAATGCAGTAAAAACATTGTTCGGTAGAATGGATTAAAATGTTTAGATACTTAAATAGCACATTTTTATCATGAAAATGTCAGCCGATATTGTCTACTAGCATAAGCTAAAGTTAATGTTAGTCACAAAGATTAAAGACCGTAAAACTCACCTTCGTATTTGTGAATGTATAACAAGGCATACATCTTAAAACCTTTCTTCAGCTTACTTGTTGGAGCATCAGATCAATGTACATCAGTGGACCCAAAGTCGGTCCTCGAGGGCTGGCATCCTGCATATTTTAGTTCTCTCCCTAGTGGTAGTAACAATCTCTTCAGTAAGTCAATGTTCTCCTTAGGCCTTCTAATGAGCCATCATTTGATGCAGGTGTGCTGAACCAGGGAGAGAACTAAAACATGCAAGATGCCTGCCCTCGAGGACCGACTTTGGGGACCACTGATATATATCATTAATTGTTACCTTGGTCAAACCCTGCAAACACCAAGTGTAAAATGCTATTTTCAATTGACTGGAAATGACAGAGCTGCTTAACCCTGAATGTGGAAGCAGACGTGCAAAGAGCTCATAGGAGAGCGGTCTCTTTCTCTTGACAAAGAAACATAAACAAAGTCAACTTTAACTTTGATTGCCACCTGTACCTATACAAACATGCTACGCCACACATCAACCTTTCCTGTGATGGAGAAAACATAAACAAAACATACTTTATTTCACACACACACACACACGAAATATATCACATTCACACCATTCCTTTACATCTTTGCCAACATACCAGGACTACTTTTTCCCCATTGAAACTTGATTAAATAAATGGACAGGGCCTGTGGTAATATCAAGGAGGTCATCACACCCAAAACAAGCTTTTCTTGTATTTTGAAGGCAGAATCTTGGATTAGTTTGGTTTTCATTGAAAAGTTATTTTAAAATGCTAGAATAACTCTCTCCACTGAAAATATGTGGTTAAATAGCAGTCAATGGGACCAAAATGAGACAAAAGGTCTTAAGTGTACACAAAATGCATATATTTTGTTCTGCATAACTTATAATCACAGGGACAACACATTTTTAAAAGGAAACTTAAAAAAAAAAAAGTCTTGGCCAAGTTTCATAGAATTAATTGTTCTGACTGAGATGTTGAGAATCAAAGCAGTAAAGCAGGATGTCCCATTTTGGTAAGCCAAGAATCCCCAAGAGTTAAAGGATGAGTTGTGTATGCAAATGTGTGAAGATGATTTGGAATTTGTTGTGGTGATCAACCTTAAAAATGTCTTCCGTCTCCTCTCAGTATGCGGGAACAGTTGAAGAGAATAAGGTAGATGCTCTGGTTGTTAAGATGGAGGTGACAGACGGTGATGAGCCTCATACTCCTGCCTGGAATGCAAAATTCAGCATCATTAATGGAGATCCAGGAAATCTATTTACTGTGAAAACAGGAACAAACAAACAAGAAGGAATCATCACTACTGCTAAGGTAAGAGGACCAGCAGGTTCTGATTGTTGGACCAAATTTAACTATTGTAAAGTAGTTTGTTTTAATCAAAATTCAGCTCCTATTACATTTATCATTTGAAGTTCAGCCTGAGCTGTTAATGTCTGAGTTGACACTAAAACTTTCTTCCATTAATCCAGGGTCTGGACTTTGAGAGAACCAGTAAGCACACTCTGCTGGTCACAGTGGTGAATGAGGCTCCTTTTGCTCCTTCTGTTCAATTGGTTACTTCCACTGCTACCGTGGTGGTGACTGTGAAGGATGTCAATGAACCTCCCATTTTTGAAACAGAAGAGAAGCATGTTTCCAAAAGTGAGAACCTTGCTGTGAACAGCACTGTAGTGCAGTACACGGCTTCTGATCCAGACACTGGACGCAAACAGAAAGTCATGTAAGGAACCTGAAAATCCTCCAACTTGAGGAATGTCTGCATACATATTTTAAATTTATGTTGTAGATAAATACTAATCTCTTCATTATTCTGCTTGCAAAGTCCTGCTTTGTGTTATTTATATCAGTTTTTGTCCTTGATGTTCAGGTATAAAATACTCAAAGACCCAGCTGGGTGGTTTGGCATTGATAAGGATACTGGTGTGATAAAAGTGAGAAACCAAATGGACAGAGAATCCAGCTTTGTCAAGGAGGAGAAATACACAGCCCTGATTGGTGCATATGATGATGGTAGGTGTGAGAGTTGACAGTCTTAATGGTTTTGGAAGAAATCTTTATGAATCAGTGCAAGTTAAAAGGAATTCAATGATTTGAGCTAAAACTGTCAAGATTGCCTTGAATAGAGCTCTTTAGAATATATTACCTGTAGCACTGAATTTCTCAATTTTTCTTGTAGAGATTTTCTTCTACTTCCTCATTAGATCATTGAAGGTGTCAACAGGACTATTCATGCTTCACTACTGTTTCTTCCATGTCTCCAGATCAGATCCCAGCTACAGGAACTGGAACGCTAATCATTAAACTTGAGGATGTCAACGACAACGCCCCAGTTGTTGAGGATCGTTCATTTCAAGTACGTACCCTCCACCCAAACCAGGTCTAGATAATTTATGTTTTGCTCCTACCTTTTTTTTAAATGGGTGCAAAATGAGAGCTACTCTGTGTCCTGCTTGCTCTGTTTTGATTCTGGATGGTTACGTCATCACCGAGCACAAGGGTATAACTACATACTTTCTGAGGTGTATGTGGACACACCATCAGCATCCACCCCGCAGTGTAGTGTTAAAACAGTGTTTTAACACTACACTGTTACATTTCGTGACTTTGCACTTGCCATTTGTCAAGAATAGCATCAAATGAAATGGACCGTACCAATGGACTGTACCCATAATCTAGTATATTAAGCTTTAAATAAGCAAGTGCAAAAGTATTTGATAAAAAGTAAAATGCTCAAGTACTGAGTGACTGATCATAATACAGGATTTATATTTTTAAATTCTTGTCAGACAGCCAAAAGTAAATTCGGGTATTTTAAAGTCTAATACCAAAATATTTAAACAAATAAGGAGTTCTATGACGACCACAGGGTAATTTGTGTTTTTTCATGGGGGGGAACTTAAAAATATGAAATAAAAACAGGGTAATATTTCATTAAGTGAACCGAAGACCCTGTTGAGTCAGTCGTTTGTCTAGAACCACCCTTGGGCTGCAGGTTTGTGTCTGAGCCATTGGTTAGCATGTTTTCCTTCATTCATATAGCTTGATAGGAAGTCAGGTTATCCAAATTCTCAGGAGATGCTGATGTCTGGTTCTTTAGGTTCTTATGGGTCTGCAGTGTTCCTCCCTTATCCATTTGATATAATATGGATATAATATATCCATCTGACATAATACAGCACATTTTTAAAAAGAATTGCCAGTATTCCTCACCAATATTGTTCTGCCTGGCATGTGTGTCTTCCCACTCACGACTGTACTTTTGCAAGAGTTTTCTTCTGAGAACGTGGTGAAATATCTGGTAGAGGTCGTTTGTCGGTAGTGCTCCAGGGGTCCTGTATAGCTCCTGCTATGACAGTTAGCTAACCTTAATATTTCTTGTTTTATTTTGGTCATTATTGACTAAATAATGTTGATGTGTGTGATAGGCGTGTGTATCAGACATTTATAGAAATATGGAACAAATTGTGTCTTGTATTTGTTCAATATGCAACATTTAGCAGCCAAATATAGGAAGATTCTGTATTTTAGGGGACGGGTGGTAACCCTAAACACTGATTATACTTACCTACTGTTTTTCAATCATTTTGAAAAGCTTTTCTCCAATGTCTTTATCCCTCTCCCTGTTTGGTGCCCCAGAGAGCTATTTTTTTTTCTGCCACTCCATCTTTACCTCACTTTTGTCAAGTGCACTGTATACGACAATTCAGATTTTAAAAAGGGGCGGGAGGACGCACTTGAGCACGGTTTCGAAGGGGTTCACTCCCAACAGACCTATGTGGGAGTAGAGAGCGACAGGAGAGGAGGTGCAAGAGCAGAGGGACGTCTGATCAGTGCCGTTCCGCTATTGATCATTTCATACATGCACAAACAGCTGTTAAATACAGAAAATACAGACTAGAAAAAAATTTCCCCACATCGTTTTGGCGCCCCCTCTAGTGCAGCGCCCCTCTGCATTGCGTACAGTGCATCCCCACTTCTTGTGCCACTGACCAAGCATCACCTCAGTTGGCCAGCTTAGTTATAGTTTGACTTAATTTTCAGTTGTTGAATAGAAAATTACAAATGTACTGTAGCATAATCCCATCAGCGGTTTAAATCCATTTTGTTTCCACAGGTCTGTAACAAGAAACCAGCTCATCAGCTGCTGACTGTAACAGATAAAGATGGACCAGGCTTTACTTCTCCATACAGCGTCAACATAAAGGACTCCTCTACTAAGGCTAACTGGACCGCTGTGATGAACAACAACAGTATGTAAACTAGTAATGACTGATATGAACTAACAATTATATCACAATATTGTTGCCGTTTCTGTTCTAATGGCGATGTAAATGATTCCAAAGGCCTGTTGAATTTTCTGCTAATCTGGCAGACCGAAGCTGACCAAGCCAAAGTTACCTCTGCAAATAAAAACTGCCTAAACCTGTAAAATAGAAATATTGCTTAAAGATCACCTGAATAAAACAAATCTAAATGTTTGTAGTGGGAATGCAATAAAGCTTGATGAAAAGAAACTTGTATTGACAAAACAATTGGCAATGTAGGAATTAGTTTTGTGACGGTGTTTGTTGTATATTTTTCTTTTTCAGAAACTGGTATTATTCTGACTTTGATCCGTGAGCTGGAGAGCGGATTTTACAAGGTGATCATGACGGTTTCAGACAACCAGGGCCTGTCTCAGGTCAGCACAGTCACAGTTGAAGTGTGTGACTGCACTGGAGAAGAAGTGACCTGTAGAGAGAAAGTTATTGCTGGCTCCAACCTGCCAGTGATCCTGGGAATACTCGGTGGCGTCCTCCTGCTACTTAGTGAGTTTAAGAATTTACCACAGTTCTAGATGAATATAGGTTCTTTCAATGAAAGTTGGTCTGAAGAAAAATTGCTTATGGTTTTGATCTTTTCAGTCTCTAAATGACAAAAGTTCAACTATGAATTAACTAAAAGAATAATTTACTGAATTTGCTACTTGAAGAGAGTCATGTCAGATATTTTCACTCTGCTTTTGTCTGGATTAGTTTCTCTGTCTACTACTCCACTCACCCTCAGTCTTGACTGGAGTAGATTGTATTGTATTTTATCTGTCCAGACTTGATGAGGTAACCCAGGACATATTTTGGCATCATCATTCATCTCCTTTTCCAGTGTTTATCTAAAGACACAGTCAGTCCATAGTGGCCACCTTCCAGCTATATGGGATGATTTTGCTCTTGAAATTAAAAGTAATGTCAGCTTTTTTCTCTTTCAGTGCTGGTCCTGCTGCTGCTGCTATTGGCAAATAAAAACAAGCCAAAGAAGGAACAACCTTTACTCCTAGATAAAGACGTCAGAGACGACATCTTTTTTTATGATGAGGAGGGAGGCGGAGAGGAGGACCAGGTAAATGCTGCTTATATAATCAAGATTTATACTCTGGAACATTGTTTACATGTAATATTTTTTTACATGGGGCTGATGGCTATAACTGTTCATGAGAACACATTTAAATCTTTACTTTCAACAAGCTCTTCTGGTGGTTTAACACAGTGACTGTTTTCATGACTTGTAATCGAAAAGGAAGCTTTATTTTGCATTATTCTCCATTAGGACTACTTTGATCTGGGTGTTCTCCACCGTGGTTTGGACAACCGTCCCCATGTGTTCAGGGATGAAGTGGCTCCAGTTTTTCAGTACCAGCCTGTTGTGTACAAACCTCGGCCTGCCAATCCAGAAGATATCGGCGGCTTCATTGATGATGTGAGTTCAGAACACCACTGAAAAACTTACTTCTGTTGAAAAATAAGCCTGTAAGCCTTATAATGCATTTCACTCTACGACACAGAACCTGAAGGCGGCAGACAACGACCCGACTGCTCCCCCCTACGACTCCCTGCTGGTGTTTGATTATGAAGGAGGAGGTTCTGAAGCTGGAAGCATTTCGTCTCTGAACTCGTCAAGCGATGGAGACCAGGACTATGACTGCCTCAGCGACTGGGGCCCTCGCTTCAAGAAACTGGCAGACATGTACGGAGGAGGAGATGATGACATGATGTAAATGTTCCAGTACTGAGGAAATGAAGCTGCATGAGTTTAAGTGTGCTGAAGTACTGACATCAGTGAGATGTTGTTTTGTGAATTTTAGTTCAGGCCCATTGGTAGTTGAGCCACTTCAGGGTTTGGTTTTATGAGTTTTCTAAATTAGAGAGGTCTTTCTGAGCCTTTTTTTTGTTTGTTTTTTTTTTGTTTTTTTAGGCTTGCCAAAAATGTTTTTTTTTTATTTGTAGCTTACTGGTATAGTGGACTCATACATTGAGAGACTTGCAGTATCACTGGTTTAAAAAATTGTGTGAAGCTGGTGAAATAAGGTACTTTTTATCTTTCATTTTTTGTATACTGTTTTTATATTTTTGCTTCAAGGATAGATTAGAAACATTTCAGAAATCATGAAATCCTGGTAGCCAGCCTAAAGTGAGTCAACCTCTCGACTACATTTGAGTTGATAATAAATGCCTCTTGTACTGCTTTAAATCTTGATGCAATAATTTCTGATGTATGGTAAAAGCTTAAATGTAATGCTTTACTTTTATATAAAGTTATACATTTTAGATTTGTGTGGTGTTTGTGTTTTCCAGAATAGTAATTACTTTATTTATTGCAACAGTCAAACGATTGGAACATGGGTTTTATGATAACAATGTTTATTAAAAATCCATTAGAATGACTTTTTCTGAACTGGATTCTCAAAGGCCCATGATTTTAATGATGCCAGGTTGAAAACTGGAAAGTTCCCAAATAAATTACTGGAAAACTGCATTGCAGCTGTGGCTTTGACATAAGCATGTGAGTCTATGCATCAATACTGAATGTAAAGTCCTTTTGGTTTTCTGGACTTCAGAAAAGTGTTGCACAACTACAGACTCATCTGGAATCTGTCACCAACCAGCTGGTTGTGGTCTGACAACAACATTTTGTGATATAAACTCGACTGTTTTAGAGGAAGGAAGACGAATCTGATCCTAAACATAAAATGGAAACTTGATGCTTTGCGGTGCTTTTCTGTGCCGTATTGAGAGCATGGATAGGACCATGTGTTGCTTGTTTTGTGTGTCTTCCCACAGGCACAAAAGGCACCAAGATGGACTGTGGCTGGGTCTCATTTCAATGACCAAAACCCACAACCAGGGCAACTAAGGAGTGGCTTCATAAGACACATTTCAAGGACTTGGATTAGCCCAGTCAGTCTCCAGACCAGGCGCCTCATGTATAAAGTGTGCATAAGCACAAAAAAATGTGCGGCGCCATATTTTACGCACAAATCGGCATGAATAAAAATTAACTTGGAGTTGGTTTGAGTAAATACACACTTTTTCCCTGGCGTGAAAATGTGCGGCAGCCACACAAACATTTTCTGTGAACAAAATTAAACTAAGCATTAAAACTCTCATAAATACACTGAAATCTGATTACATTCAGTATTATTTAGATCACTAAATATGCTACACTAAAAGTTGGATTAAAGGTCCATTAAAAGTGCCAACTTTGCATTTAAAGTGTTCACAAAATAATGCAAAGTTGGGATTTTTAATGGATCTTTAATCCAACTTTAAAGCAACTTCTCATTAAAAGTGTTATTTACCAAATGACACTTCATTCGGTTATAAGAAACACCTGTTAGAATGACACCTGTTAGAAACGGAGTGTTTCTAACAGGTGTCATCTTTATGACCATCATGTCAGTCTTATGCACACCCCGTCAAATAAAATGTTACCCACATTTTTCAAGAGTACATTGCCAATA